TGGGTGCTGGGGGGAATAATAGTCACACTGCGCCGAAGCAGACGCTGGTGCGGGCTGCTGGTTTAAAAGTCTATTTTCACGCGTTGATACAATTCATTTCGCAAATCGTGTTGTTAATTCAAACAATTTTGTGTATAGTGTACATACATGCAATACCGAGAACCAGCATGCGTGCCATGTTTCGGGAGAAGTGATAGTCCGGTATCGCTAATAAGATTATGATCATTAGGTGCTACGATAGCGTACGGTTTACAAGATATAAGGTTAGGTTAGGTTTTAAGTTAAGTTAGGTCAGATTAGGTAAGGTTAGTTTAAAGATATCTTTGTAGACCGCACGCTGTAGTAGCACCAATCATAATGGATGAACTAGCGTTAGTTTGGTTGTTAATAATGACCTCTCATGTAGCGTGACATTATGGTGATATGGTATTTCATGTTCTATATTGTATTTCAAGAATACTGTTATTAATCTCTTGTTAACTACAATTAAAATTCTGCTACGAATAATTATTTAAGTTTATCTAGAGAGTTGAGGGTAACATAAATTAAATTATCGTGGTGTAATTTTGTTCGCCAAAGAATTGTCAAGATAGTTTTTTTTGCCCAGTGTACCTACTCAATATACCTGGGATACAAGTACTGGCTAAATGAAATAGACTAAATAAACAAATACGGCTACCTTATAACACAACCCCTGCCAGTGTTGTGACTTCATAACATCACAACCTTTACAGCGCCACGTTTTAAAATGATCGTGATTTTATTGTTTTTATTTCTGGTCAAACACGAAAAAAAAGTATTCAGATTGACAAAACGAAATCATGTAATAATTCCTGTTGATTGTTGCATGACGGTGTGTTGCATGGTAAGATAACAAAAACAAAAATAGGAAAAAAATAAAATAAACCCGCTTTGTATGGACGTCCTGAGTATAACCGCCGGAATACAAATTCTTCTCACTTCGTTATTTTGTTCGTTCTCTATTTCAAAATCACTTTAACCGAGGTATTTCACATGACAAATATATTAATATTAACAAATTTATTATTGATCGTAAAATGGTAAAATTAAATAAATAGCCGCGGTGTGAAAAACTGTAGTAAAATCATGGTTGTGAGTGGCGCCAGTGGTTGAGAGCAGTGCCAGTGGTTGTGAGTAGTGGTTGTGGGAAGTACCGTATTCTTTACTTCCTCCACATATTACTATTTTTTCCTCTTACTCATCCGTTTCACCTCCTAGTCTTCCTCCCCCCAACCCCTCAAAGGGTCGTCCGGGTACTGGCTTTCCTTAACCTAAAAACCTTGGACCAAGCAACCTCTGACCTGACATCTTTTAACACAGGAACAACTGCAAACACCAGTGACCTATAATATTTGACCTCCTGACCTCGCATGACCTCTTGACCTTTGATCAGGGTGGAGCAAGGAGCGGCAGGTGGGTGTGTTGTTGCCCTTTAACACTATTGCATAACCCGCCTCACCCTCCTTCCTCAACCCGGAGTTAACCACCCACTCTAGCTAATGGCTGCTCGACACACACCAATATAAGCGATGGTATTTACTTTCCAGTACTAATAATACATTAAAGCTGAACACACACAAAATAAGTCAAACGTATCACTTTTTGGTACATATACGCCGTAAATTCTTCATACATATTCCTGTCATTCCGTGCTCATGAAACACACCAAGAGGATTATAATCAGCGTTGACACATTGTTATTTTACAACTGATCACAATAATAATAGCTTTTGCAGTATATTATTATTCTGTGGTCATTAGAAATTTTTTTATATACTTTGAAACAAATATTAACGGTATCTGGTATTTCCTAGATATTCATTTGATTAATATTCAACTGTGTGTTTTGTTCTATAAAATACCTCTTTTAATGTTCAACACTATGGCAGCCTCGTTCCTCTTGTAATTCCATCCTCTTTTTATTTCGTCTCTTTCTGATAATTGGCGTAATTATATTACGTATATTAATCTAGTATAAGCGCTCATAGACTTTAGATGTTGAAGCTTTGTAATGCATTAACTGCAACGGTAACACTCAGTCCGTCTATTTCCCAATAGGTTAGATTAGGTCATCATTAACTGACAGTAAACATTCAGGGATGTGTGACATTTCCAGAGTATACATAATGGGCATAAACCACTTCAACATCTACTATGTTCTCCCACGCCACAAGTCCTTTGCATAAACACTATCTAAAACCAAATCATGCATTTTTACCTTCAAGTTTAGCACAAAATATAAAACATTACAACGGAAAAACTATGACACCTGTTATTATTGAATTACCTAAACAATCCTCTCCTGCACGTTTACAGTGTGAGCCGAGAGAGTGCTTCTGTTTGACGAGCATTTCAAACACCGTGTTGTACTTTCATCAAGTCCGCCAAGCTTTACGTTAGTCGTGTTTGTCAGCTCATGTATTTCTATATATTCACCAACACTGACAATTCTGTTATAAGCACAATGCTTTCTCCGTTCTCCCCTTCTGCCTTTCCCCTATTCATTAATGTCAACCTGAATATAGTTTAATCTTCATAAGCCTCTGTCTGTTTTACAATTGATGTTAACGCTTATTTAATAACACTCACATGAGGTACTCCCACCATATCACAAATCCTGTCCATCAATTTAATCTTCTGAATCCATAAACGGTTTCACGATCTTGTTGACTGTCTATGGTGCGAGGCTTCCACTGTCCTAGCAGTCATTTACGTGAACATTATCCGGATCACCTGAAGATTCGCCTCCCCGGCTTATTTCACCTTAGGATTAAATATCTTGACGCTAACATAACAAAACCTAAAATACACTAACCTAACATACCCACATTATTTCTTGAACAATATTGAATATCTTCTTTAAAGCAGTTCTCTCACTCCGCAGCTGCTGGGTGGCGTGCGTATATTGGCGATAATAATATTCCATTGTTTGCTTATTTAACTTTACACAAACTTGTTATCATTATCATTCCTAGTCCCAATAATAATGCAGGAATCACGTGGAGATCCCAGCATACATCATCACCTTCCTCCCTCTCCCCCCAACCAGCGGTGGTGTTTCATTATGTGAAATGTTCCGGGGGCCTAATGTTCAGGTGGTGCTAATTTAATGGATATAATTTATAATGTATTCTGTATTACGTTCCTAAGACTGTAATCGTTTATGTTTATCCTGTTCAAATCACCATTATTGTTAATCTACTTGTTTTTCTTTAGTTATTTCTACTGACTGATTCAATCCTATTCCATCGTTTTTCTTCCGCCACATTCTTTTCCTTCAAGAGTTGAGTAACTTCACCTTTAAGCCGTGGCCGCACAGGCACACTTCCCTCAGCACTTCGTCACTTTGAATTCTGTGTTTTTCCATCACGGAGTTCCACGCTCACATTTTTATTCTTTTTCTGTAGCTCCCCACTTCATCTCCACACATATTTTCATGATTTTCACCTTCACTTTTGTTGTTGTTGTTGTATAAGAGGTATAAAATATTTCCTCTTTCTGCAGATTACGTTATTATCACGTTAACTGGTGCGGTCTTCAACTGTGTGACTGGATTTGACTACAGTGTGGGGCAGATTGCGCTTTTTTGTACCCAACCAGAAATTCTGGACAAAAAATCTTCGAATTTCATCTTACCCAATTTTAAGCCCGTTCAAATTAATTCATGAAAATGGAATTTCTATTAAACTTTATTTTTTTTTAAACGAGAATAGCTGATGGCCTTATCCTTCCTTAATGGTCCCATGTTGTCGCGTATTTCACACACACACACAACAGAGGTCTCCACTGGCAGAACGGCGGCATTTGATTGACTGATTTTCTTACCAGTGCAAGGCTTGTCACAGTCAGATACAACACGAATTTCGAAATAATATAATGAGTGGCAGAAACAAAACGACTCGTCTTTCAATGGTTAGATTCAATTAGATACCGATGATCTGTCAAGGAATATTTTGTTTTTATTCATTCCACCCGAACATTCCTTTCCCATTTCGTTTTTTTTCTGTTATTGATACCTTCAAGCAGTTTTTGTTGGATAACTTTTATTTCGCAATTAATCTATACTTTTCCACCACCAACACTACTATCACCACCAAAAGAACAAGGATCACCCGAGTGTTAACAGACCCCACCTGCAGCCTCAGGGTAATACCTACCAGCTTAACATCATAAACCCGCATCTTCTTCCCTATAATTTTTGACGGGGTTTATATCACTTTTTTTTCTTCATAGTGTGATGGTTACAGCGGAGGGCGTCAAGTGGCGGGTATACTGAGGTAGTGTTGCCCCGCCTTCCACTTTGTGCACCGCCGCTCACCATCACTATTACTACATCCTGATATAACTTGATAATGTAAATCGAAAATTTTTTACTTTTTTTTTTAGTTTCCCGTGACTTTTAAAACTATTACTCGTCGTGACCGGAAGATACATACAACTTCAATTATTACTAAAATAGTGAACAAGTAGACACGGTAAAACATTTTAAGTGATAAACCAACACAAAAAGAGACTAGACAACTCCCTTCAGAGACATTTCCTCTTCTCCAAACATTTCTTTACGCTAGACTAGAGATTTCGGTATGAAGGTTTGTGTAGATGTGACGTACAAAACTATGATCAACAATACATCATCATAGTCGTTTAGGGGAAACTACTGTTTTTTGCTAACTTTTAAAGAGTAGGGTTGTGTAACATTATACTCTGCTGCCAGTCAGGTCGAGGCGGTGCACTTCTGCAACTTAACAAACAGACAAAAGGATCAACGTGAACTGAGAAAACTTAAGAACGATATACACGTAACACTACTTACAGTATTTTGGTATAAAAGGTCTTTATTTAGATGTAAAAACACACTTAACAAGATCTTAAATATCTTAATAAATATAAATGACTAGACAAAAATATGATACAATTATACATATCATAAAATTTAATATACAGCAAATGTAACAAGAATATGATTTATATAAGAACAGTTATAGGAAACATAACATGCTAACACGAGGTCTACAAATAACAAATACAACATTGTTAAAGTAAAACTACTGGACTGATGTAAGAAGGTTTCCCTGAATACTGAGGTAGGCTTCACTGTAGGTCGGGCGGCACACACTGCACTCCTGTACCTGCTGGCTATAGTGTTGGTGCCCACGACACAGTGAAGTGTTACCCACGACATATATTAAGTGTTACCCACGACACATAGTGAAGTGTTACCCACGACACAAATCTTTCAACAAATGTCCACCTCATATTATCAACTCGTCATAAATGATAATATACTCTGGTTACAGTTAAACGCTTCCACAGTTTTAAGATCTGAAAAGTTTGAAGTCGGGACAAATAAAAGTTTTAATGACGTCAGAAATTTTGACAAGAAATTAACAGCATTATAATGTCAATAATGCATGAAAATGGGAAGAGAAGATTATGGTAACGTTTAGGATGTGTCAAGAACCAATATGACAAAAAAAAAAAAGATCAGATCGTCCTTAACGAGATTCGACACCGCATACAAATGACTTCCGACAAGAGGGGAGGCCAAGTGAGGAGGGATGAGCTCAGACAAGGAAATACTCCACCCACAAGCCGGTGGAGCTGTACGCACTGCCCCAGAGGAGTAGGGCCGCCTCGTTACCATTGGAGATGAGAGAGTAGCCGTCATTACGGTAACCACAGAGCTTAACCGTAGTGTCGTCGTTTGGGTAGGCGGAGTTCCCCGTCAGTGACACCAGCACGTAACCCCGAATGCACATCTTCTGGTAGAAACGCCGCTTGAACTGCAGTTTAGTGGGGTGGTAGGAGCTGGTGGCCAGACGCAACGTCCGGAAACGCAGCTTGATTCTGCGGCCAGCTGGCGCCTGTGGAGGACGAGGGGCCAGTAACACACACACATTGATACCGTGTTAACATGATGACTTTATAGTTTAAAGTAATAACAGCTTCCTTTCCATTTCGTCACTAATTTCCTTTTTTATAAAAAACTATCATACTTTTGAACTTTTTTGTACATTTGGTTCTCCTGAGTGTAAGTGCCGAGGTAACTATATAAAGATCAATAGTAGTAGTAGTAGGCTACGAGGATTAAAGACATCTCAAGAACTAATAAATTATAACTTCGGGGATGTGAGTCATGGTACCCGAGTTACACAAGTGAAACTGTCGTCTGATCCATTTTAGATGTTTAACAATTATTTATATTTTCATGTTACGGAGGCGGTCTTCTTACCTGTTCCGCCGTCAGCGTCTATATTTCTATAACTCCAACGTGATGTTATGATTAACAACAATAAAACTGAGGAAGCAATGGAGATAATCTGAACACCTGAATCTTACTTTGATCCACCACTCGCACTCTGTGTGCTTGGGGTACTTCTTGGGGAACCTGGGCGAGGAGAAGGAGCCTGCTGACCTCGCCTTAGAGAGAGTGACCACTTTATGGCACCAAGACGATAGACCGAAGAAGGTTACAGCCCAACTCTGAGACCCGCTCGTTGCGTTACTGGCGAAAGATGCCGTGTGGAAGGACCCTGGTAGCTGCAGTGGTCCATTACTATTGCGGCAGATCCTGAAGCATATCGAATTTCTTTTGTTGGTGGGAACTTTTTCTATAGAAATATAGACATTAAGAATATTCTTTTTGATCTTGCGAGGGATGTGAGTGTTGCACTTACCTAGCTACAGTCCCGTGAGCGCTGGTGATTTTAATGCTTTCACGACAGTCGGCCGGGAGGTTGACGGAATTCAAGGCTAAGAACATCTTCGTCGGCTGCTCCTGCAACAGATGCCTTGGCTTAGCGAGAAGCTATGTGGCAGAAAGTTCATTTGAGAAGAGGAAGGAAGTCAGTATAGAGTGATGACAGTCAAACAGTGAAACATCTCGAGTCAACGTAATAATACATACAGAACCAATAACAGTTGAAACACTCGGATAATACTTTCAGCAAGACGAGACGATTGAAAATGAAAGACTTTGTAAAACGAGGAATGGGGGAAGGATCCATACAATACGTAAAGCGAATTATGTAAAGATTAACAAACCAGCTTGTTTCACCTGATGATCGAATACCCGAACACTAACCTAACCTAACTTAGTTTTATCTAACCTATCATAAATGTGTTTAATAATCAGGTGAAATAAGGTGGGAGCACTAATGTTACACGAAGCAGTAAAATATCTTGTTTCCGGGTGATTGGGGTCCCATTCTCGGGCCTGAGGGGAGCGAGACTACGTATGTAATAATCATTTTGGGGATTAAGGTAACAATTATCACCTTGCTACCTCTGTTCTCCGTCAGCAATACCCGTTGGTCACCTCTCGCTCCCCTTGTAATCTTAATCCTCAGTTATCGAAAGACACCCCAGCTTATTTTACCTGACGATTGAACAAACTTACGCTAACTTAACTTTATCTAACCGCCTCAAGGCAGCGTTAGGGTTTTTTTTTAATCGTCAGGTGAAATAAGCTGAGGTTTCTTATCTTCAGGTGATCCATAAATGTAGAATTATTTCTTGCCAAGATCCCTAACTGCATACAATTAATTATACTCGAAGATATTACCCACCTACTACTTTCTCCGTCTCTCCTTACTAACTCTTATTCTCTCTCTCTCTCTCTCCCTATTTGCTAACTTCTACCTAGTTTAAGTTGTTGCTCTCTCTCCTGATACGCACTTTGTTGACGGTGATACTGCAGTAGAGTTGACCCTGGTAGTCCTCGGGGTAGAACGGGGAACTCCAGCTGAGTGACTTTCCCGTGTCACTGACGAGACAAGAAGACCTGAGGAAGGGACAAAGACACCATTAACACCCAGGTACCCCATCCAAGACACCATTAACACCCAGGTACTCCATCCAAGACACCATTAACACCCAGGTACTCCATCCAAGACACCATTAACACCCAGGTACTCCATCCAAGACACCATTAACACCCAGGTACTCCATCCAAGACACCATTAACACCCAGGTACTCCATCCAAGACACCATTAACACCCAGGTACTCCATCCAAGACACCATTAACACCCAGGTACTCCATCCAAGACACAGTTACGGTGGCATGGAGACACCACACCAAATGCGTCACATTATTCGAGCATTTGGCCCATAGTAGCACTGCAACAAGAGAGGTCCTCGTGTTGGCCATTTGTAACTGTCACCACGTGTTTCTGTCCAGTAAATAGAGTCAATTTTATTTTATACAGTCCTGAGGCTTCTTCCTGTGAGGAAATATGCACTGTGTAAGCTCTTGAGAGAGGGGAGAGAGCTACACAATGACCGGCCACAGAAACAGCATTGTAACATTAGCTAATGGGAAGCTTTATAGGAGCTACAACATCTCAGACAACTCCTGACTCAGAGAAGAACACGAGGCGGGAGATATATAGTTAATCCGCTAGAGAAAATTATTACATACCGACACGTGTACCGGAAGCTGACTGTGAATTGGAAGCCACGTCTCCAGCCGAGGTTTGAGGAGAAGAAGAGGACAATGTCACGGCCTTCACCGACCACCTTCTGGCCGGGTTTGAGGTCGGTGCCACAGTACCTGTAAAGGTGTTAACTAATAATTTTAATTTTGCCTCAATTGTTTGTTACAAGCCCCATAAGAACTGTTGTCTATGTACTTTGATGTAAAATGTTATTAAAATATTTGCAGTTACAAGGTTACATCAAGATAACTGTAAACCTTAATGCAGTTTCAAATCAAAGAATTTTTGTCACAGGGAACTTTGAACCCAACAAACAAGAGGACCAGAAAACTTTGACGCTAAAGAACACTGACAACAGTAAAAAGCTCTGGACCTGCCCGGACAGATATGTACCCGGCACACCTCATGCTACGACAGTATTGTTTTGACGAAATCTCAGTTTCTGAATCCAGGAAATGTTAAGTGAGAAAACAATCCTTGGGAAGAGACAGGTGACATAGGAAAGAAGGAAGGAGGTAAACATAAACAAGACATACTCGTTGCCGTAGTGAATGGACTGCGTGCGGATCTCGAGGCGGTCCCAAAGACACTGGCGGTTGGTGGCCTTCCCGAAAAGAACGAAGTCGTTGACGGTGAGAACGGGAGTCAGGCAGTCATCAGGAGACCGCACCCACCACACGCACCCGGAACCTGGCACACGCATACCCACTTTAACACAAGGACTGTATGAAAAATGGACTTGGAGGGTGGAGTCATCTAAATTACAAATACTAAAATAGTATACTGTATGTAATTATAGAAGAGCCTCTGTGTGTGTTCTCGGTTCTCATTTCTCCGCTCTCGGTCAAAAAACTGAATTTTCCAATCACACACTCAGTTGTACAAGCACCGTTCGGGTATCACTGTCACTCGGAACAAAACAAAACCAAAGATGGCGGGTCGCCCAAAGTGTTATCGTTTTTAGCTTTTCTTGAGACACAATGGATGTCTGAAATCCCACAAAACACTGCATCCCCTCACTTTATCAACAAAGGAAGTTTCAGTCTTTTGTCCAAATGATTCGTGGCGCTTGAGAATCCATGTGCATGCTGGCTGCGCTCACTGGATGTAAACAAAATTCAAATAATATGTTATCTGTAATCTCCATTTGTATGTATACAAAAATATTCCAATGACAATATATTTGAATTAGTAAAATCGATACCTTTCAATAACAAATATTACAAAACTTCAATTGTACCTGAAATGCTGCCCCTCCGAAACATTCCGACCTAGTTAATACAGATATGCTTTTAAAGTATAACTACAACTAACTGCGTCCATTAATTTACAGTAAATATGTACAGGAATACAAAGGTATAACATTAACTCCATTTATTCCTCAAGACTACCAAGCATGAACACCCTGGCGCTCATAATTCGTCCATTGCAACACTTAAGTTCAGAACACAAGCTGCAGCACAAACAATGACGGCGACTGTTTAATATTTCCCGCGGAGGATGACCTAACTATTGGCCATTATAAATTTCATCAACAGAGAATAGATACATGACTGATTTATTAATACAAGGGAACATTACTCAGATTATTAACATTCCGCCTTGTCAACTCTCATCGTATCAGTCATCCACCCATTTGGAAGTTGAAATTACTCGTTCAAAACTTAAAAAAAAAAAAAAAACATCGGAAAAACAAAATTTCAACCTAACCTAACCTGAAGAATGACCGAAACGATAATAATACCGGGAATAAAACTGATCCAGCGGCAGGTATTTTCTACGGGGCGCACTTTTTTAATAGCCCAGTGAAGTTAAGTGAGAAGAGTTTGGGTGCAATAAGCTTCACACACAGATATAGGCAAGTTTTGTTATATTGGATTAATTCATGTGGCAAGGTGAAATATACTGTAGTTGTGGTGCGATAGATAAATTACGAGAAGTTAGGTCAGGCAAGGTCAGGTTAGGTTATATTAATTACAGAAGGATTAAGTTTCGACAGGCAGGGTGAAGTTATGCAGAGAAATTTTATTCAACGTAAAAGCGGCTAAATTTGGCTTGGAAATTTTGAATTCGCGTGTATGGAGTGAGCAATAGCCCTTCAAGTCATATGTATAGTATAACAATCAGGGTTAAGCTTTGATAGCTTGCATATTAAATTGAGCTAGGTTGAGTCACGTAGTTATTGAATAACATGCCTGTATTCTGCAACGTTAGATTTTAAGATTTCTAGTGGGCAACATTTTGTTGTACAGGGAACAGGGGAACAGCACCTTTGTGGTAATTGTCAGGGTAGTTGGGTGAGGTGATGACTGCTCCCGCTTCCGTCACGTTACCTCCACACTTTGCCTTGGCTGAGGGAACACCATGGGTATTATTATTACTCAAGAAATACTGTAATACATCTGGTATCCCATCAGTGTTATGTGACTCCGTATTTGTTAATGATAGTCAACACTACAGTATAATTATAAGGTCAAAGCTCATCATTTAGCCTCAACTGATAATATATAATTGTAAATACCTTATATAATCCATATATCTACTTACCTTTTCTGAATGAAGGCATCAGGCTTAAATGTCTAGATCTTAATTTAACTGTTGGCATTAACCAGTAATGAATTTGGTGGGCTAGCTGTGACACCATTAACTTACTTGGGGTTGTGCGCGTGATTGTGCTGTACGTGATATCTAGCTTTACCCAATGTATGGCCAGTCATCTCTCCAAAATCAACATGTTTAAAGACCTGACACCAATGTGTTTCTACAGAATTACTGTATATTTGGAAGACGACTGACCAATCTTAAAATACTATTCAAAAATATCTGCTTCATGGCTGGTGTTCACTGGTACACACAATACAAGATTCACTCACGGTAATAGTCATGTGTGATGTAGCTGCAGGTGCGGCCGGAGGTGCCGGGTGGACATATACAAGCACAGGAAGAGCCGAGGTAGCCACCGTTCTTACAGGTGGAAGTAAAGGAACACGACCTTCCCCACAACTCTGTAAGGAAGAGCGACTTGACCAAGAATAGTCGACAAAGCTCTCTTCTGCTTTATTTTGGGTTACCTGAATCAATAAACCTTCTAAAATACACAATTAAATGCTGAATACATTCACAGGAATTTACTGAACTAAATCTCCAACAATATTTTATTATTTCTCAAAAAGATGCTATAATTGATGCTGTATGAAAATAATGTTATCATAACACCGTTTGGACAATACTGGACGAGTGATACGAGTGTTTCATATTCTAACAACAATAAAGGATCACTTACCTGAGCAACTGTACATTTGGTTTACAACATTAACGTCCCTGAAGGTGAGTGATGAACGCTGGCCTAAATATATCTGTTTGGTTGGGTCCTTCGTCACTATCGTTGATCTACCGTTTTTTGAGAAAGCCTAATGAAGAAAACGATAGACTTTTTATGGATAACTTTGAGATAGTAAAGACATTTGTAGAATATAATAATAATAATAATAATAATAATAATAATAATAATAATAATAATAATAATAATAATAATAATAATAATAATAATAATAATAATAATAATAATTCAGTAAAATTTCCGTACAGATTTACAACTGGATAATCATGTTTATAAACTAGCAGTTTTACAGTTGAGCATGAATATAGACTGTAGGTAATGCGGTGCAGGTACTCAAAGAGATTAGAACACCAGCAGTTGTCTAGCTTATACTATAGGTAGGCAAGAGGTGATTTAATAGACGTTTATAAATACCTCAGGGTACATTACTTAATCAAGCGTTCATACCTCGCGCACATGATCTTCAGTATTATTCAGCGTTAATAACCGTTCCAGTAACAACTTATTTTCTATTACATAACACGAAAGGATAGTGCTAGTCTCACATTAAATACAGTTAGAATTAACTAAACCAATAACACCTGAGAAACATGTATCAAGTGTAAGACGTACAACATTGCAATGTTTTACAAGAACAGTAAAAGTAAAGTATGAAAATATAGGTACAAGCGTTTAGTAAAAGAGCGCTGTAATTAAGTTATAGTAGGAAACTTAAGTGTTACCGTGGAATGGTAGTGCATGATGGAGGTGAAGTCGTACTCGACGCCGTAGTGTTTAGTTTTCTCTTTAAGGAAGTTCTTCTCCATGTTGCTCTGAACGTTGGTGAAGTTTATCTATAAAAACACAACTTTAAAATCAGTCCAAAATAAAGAAACGAATCTATTAATCTAAGACACAATAATTTAATCATTAATTTTGGTAAAATGTATAGATCATGGAAGGCCTTTAGAAGACAAATCCTTAAGCCTTAGTATTTCTAGAGGTGAGATGTTTTACCCCTATATAGTCGTTCCTGTCAGCACGGCTTTGTTCGTGGTAGAGACCGAGGACGTGACCGAGCTCGTGCAGGATGGTGCCGAGCTGGGGAGACCACATACACTCAAAGTATTATGTCTGTCGCAGTCACAGTGAAACAAATAAACTTGCAAAAACATTTTCTAAATTAAATGATTGTACAATTATTCAACAAGGAAAGACTAAACATACACTCAATTAACAACAAATCAATGTAGAAGTGACAAGACACGCGTTTCCTTATTCAACATTATACTGTACCAGGTAGTCAAAACTTTCCCAGGTTCTATACCCTAAAATTTAAATACAGGCTCCAATAACATTTGAAAATTTGGATAGTATGTGTCAAAATTATTGATAGTTCATGAAGATGCACCTTACTCCTTGCCAGAAAAGACGCCGATAGTCTGAGGACGACAGCAGTCATAAAGTCAACCTTGTACTAAAAGGAGGAATCCATAATTTTTGTTAATCGACTTACGTTATAGCAGCCCTGGCCTAGAGAGATGACCTGGGCGTTACTCCTCATGTTGCCGACGAAGCTGTAACACCCGCTGCCGCTCTTCACCTTGATGAAGGGCCGAGTATGGATGCCGTCACTGATCTTAACAAACTTGACGCAGGTGCTCTTCTCCCACACGTCCATGGCATCACGGACTTTCAATGGATCCAACACTGAAGGCGAGTAAAAATAAGATAGTTGGTCACGAAGTGTATATTGTGTTTTATAAAGTAATACGAGTTTGTTGACCACAAATCCTTATAAAAAGTATGAAGTGCAAATCATGTACTTTGAAGGATCAATGGAAAATTAATCTAATACATATATATATATATATATATATATATATATATATATATATATATATATATATATATATATATATATATATATATATATATAACACAAGGAAAGAAGAAAACACGAAGTTGCTTTCGTGTAATTCACAGTCTCTCACCCCTGAAGATGTGAATTACACGAAAGCGCTTGGGAACTTCGTGTTTTCTTCTTTCCTTGTGGTTATCAGCATATACCATCACGCGCACCTACAGTGATTTACTTGTATATATATATATATATATATATATATATATATATATATATATATATATATATATATATATATATATATATATATATATATATATATATATATATATATATATATATATATATATATATATATATATATATATATATATACAGTATATATATATATAATTTGGTATGGTATATTACTCAACATTACCCACACACCAGTCAACATCCACACAAACATTATCATCCTTCCTTCCGGTACTCTAGGCACCACCTGCATGGCCAACACATGAACGTGGAGAATCACCTGCTTCTCAGCCACCACCTGCACACACACACACACCTGAGTATGTCATCACGTAATGTATAGTGGGCCAGCCGGAGGTGGCATCGACGGGCCAGAGGCGGGCCACGTTTTTTATGGCCTTCCTGGTAGTGGCACTGCTGTTGTCTCTCTCCAAGTAATGCCACTCCTGTCCATCCATCACGATGTCCCCCTCAAACAGGTGCTTATCATCATCAATCTTTGGCGGGTTCAGCAACTCTAGAGGCAGCTGTTGGAGGGGGCGGAGGAACATCATTCCAGTGTATGTAGCACTTAAGGTACGCAGAGAAAGAAAGCAGATTACCAGCGCCTACCGGAGCCGACAAGCGCCATGAATATGACCAAATGGTAGTAGGCAGCTACCAAACAGGGAGGTACTACCGCCTGGGAAGATATTGGAAGCATAATGTGTTGTCTAATGGTCGACTCTACTGCCATATGGCATCACAAAAATTGTGACCAAGTCCCAGGTTCCTCATCTGACTTTCTGCCTCATTTACACACAATTGTTTCTCTTACTATTGACAACACAACATACATATATTGTTTCTAACTTTTGATCTTTTTTGTATTTTTTTGTGGTTTATTATTATTATTATTATTATTATTATTATTATTATTATTATTATTATTATTATTATTATTATTATTATTATTATTATTATTATTATTATTATTACATTTTCGTCCCCCAGGCCCCGATGTGGGTCAGTGACCTGTGCCTTGGTGGGCTAATCCCCACAAAAAAAAATGCTATCATGTGCGGCCGCACACAGTAGGAGGTTCAAGAGTGTCGGCGCGAGTATCGTGCGCCTACAAGTTTACTGGAATGAACAAACAATTCTTTTCACGCTTGCCTGCACGGGTAGACGTGTTGCTGTGGAGTGTGGAGGAATTGCACCATGGATGTTGAGGTGTTGATATCGTGTGTATTTGAGAGACCTGCAGTGTGGGACAAAAGAAACAAAGTACACACAAACAGAAATATTGTGGATAAATGCTGGGTTGAAGTCTGCAAGGAAATAAACTGTGATGGTAAGTAAAAAAAAAAATAGGGGGCAGTTAAGGCTTTACTGTAATACTACACCATGTTTTCGTCAAACGATGTTTCACCTACTTCAAAATGAAGTTGAAAGTGTTCCATGTCACTCTCATGTACTGAAGAACCTACTTGGGTCCCTTTTGAATTCCGAAAAGAGATGGTGATATTCACCGTAATGTTCTTTACTTCGATTGATTTCATGAATTCCAATTTTTTTTCTTTTGATTTTTGCATGAACACTGTCGACCAAAAGAAAATCTTTGTCAGACGATGAGCTTGACATGATCACTGTAGAGCAGCTGGACCACAACTCGCTGATAAACCTGCTTTTTCTGTGTCCACCTACCAGTGCTGACTGCCGGCACCGGTAGGCGCAGGTTACCAGCTTGCAAGCTGGTAACCTGCTTTCTTTCTGAGCGTACCCTTACACAGGACTAAAACAATGCTATCTTATAAGCTAGGAACATATTATTATTCCTTCCAACTCAACCCTGTTCTAAGTTTACCGAATGTGCTCCAAAATAATGTACGTATGGGAGACATGAAATGCTCTTCTAACTATTGAAGTTTGAGTGTGTGTGTGTGTGTGTGTGTGTCCAGTAAACAAGGAGGCAGCATGCTCGGCATTGCACTGGACCGTTTTTCTTTCCCCAACTGAAAAGCTTGGTACCTGGCCGAACTTGGGATGCCCACCCTGCAGCACGGAAGCTCCGACTCCACAGTAAAAGATGGCGTCTCCCGAAAAATTACGAGAGTACTATTACATGTGGTGGAACCATTATATCGATTGCTCCAGTACCAATTAAGGTAAATTTGCATTTCTTTAACCAATATGGCTCTCGAGTTGAGCCCCACCCCACACTAAAAAAAAAAATCCAACAAAAATCAATCGAATAATTAACAAGAAAACATCAGAAAAACACATTGTTCAACTAAAAAACTAACCTAACCTAGAATCAATACCTTAATTAAATGCATATTGGTTGAAAATGCAACACTACCCCGATTATTATTCTATGATATGAAGATTTAAACATCTAGGCCTAACCCCTTAGACACGAGGATCTTGGGTACTAACTGTGGGTCTCGTCACGTCAGTAGTGGCAGGCGCTTGCTTCAACAATCTTCCCATACAAGATACTTACAAATATATCACTTTATTGTTCCTTACCACTGAAAGTCCTTGAAAAGAAAATGTTTTAAAAAATATTTCATACTTAACGTCATTGGTATTTACTGACAAGAGAGAATTTCATTTGTCGTTAGTTTAGCGGTGATTAATGTAGACCACTTGAGTCAGGACAGCTGTGGGCGCCATTAACATAGGCATGAATCTATTAAACACTAATAAATATCAACCTCTTTACATGTTAATATAGAGAGAAAAGAAAATTTATTGTCACCTTTTCCATTTACTTTCATTTTATATAACTTTCATATTATTATTATTATTATTAAAATTATTATTATTATTATTATGATTGTTATTATTATTGTTGTTTCTAGGATTCTTCATTGCATGGTTACTCAATAATTATTTGCGAAGGGCCTGCAGTCACATAAATTTCCTGGGTGACGAATGTCCGGATGAGAGAATTGATGTAAAATGAAGTAATAACAAACAAATAAAAGCACACATTACCATTTGTCTCTGGCTACATGCATTAAAATAAAAAAAAATGTGTTGACAATGCAAAGGATTACAGAAATTAACTAGTTCCCCGTAAAACAACAACACCAACAAAGTCATGGTATGTGCAGCAGGGTCTACAGTAACCATTCATCTCTTGTTGACGAAACCCTTAGGTGCGTGGAATAAAAAGAATTAACTAATTTTCTGTAACAATAAAACGCTGCACGTAATGTTATGTACAGTGGGTCTTTCATTAATCATCATTAGTGCGAAAAATGACACTGTGCTTCTTGCCTAAGGTGTTCATTGGTGATGTTAGGGAGGTATTTGGTCACAATTATAATGGCGGAGAAACCAGACTCACGGCAGTAAGTGGAGCCAAACATTATGATGATATGCGATGTGAATTAGTGCAGATGATGGGAACCAGCTGGAAAAATACCTTCGTGTCCAGAAAGTAACGGATCACACTCACCAAACTCCTCTCTCAAGGCCACATTTTCTTGGAGTTCAATTAGTTCCATTTGGATTGATGCAGCACATACCCAATTGAACGTCTGCTTTGCTTCGTCTGAAAACTCGGAGAAGGGTTCTAAGTGAACAGCAGCAGCTGTCTCCCAAGAAAGAAATCATCAATAAGCTTCTCGGTGAACTGAACATGGTTATGATCTTTCTCTCCTCTGGTTTACTCCAAAAGCTTAGGGAAGTGGAGAAATTTTCTCTGGAAATCAAACCTGAAAAGTTCCAGTTTCTTCTGGAAAGTTCAAACTGCTGATAACGGATCACACACTGTACTGTTCCCTCCTTGCAGCTTGACACCGAGATCGTTGAGATGAGATGTAGTGTCTGCTAAAAATGATACAATTTACATTTTTATTCTCATCTTGGCAAACCCTGGAAACTGGTTTGTCTTGGCACTCGTTTAGTCTTTGATAAAATCTTGTATCTCCTCGCTAATGGACCAAAACCTACCCTTACCGAGCCATCTCATATTGTTGTAGTGATGAGTTTGCTCGCAGGAAGGAGACTAGTTTCATCATCTTCACGACCACAGTACACTCATCACCCAGACTGGCACACTGGACAGATTGGTGGATTATGCAGTGGTATGATAACGTGTCAGGGAGGTCCTCTGTCACACGTCTAACCAGTCGAATCCCACTTCTTATCATGAGTGGAGTTCTATCTATAGTGAATGAAACCACTAACTTGAGAACTATCCCTCTTTGTGTTAGCATCCCTTTAGTGCCGCGGTCCGCCACCCGAGTACCCCTGCTTTATTTTGACCCCAAATCTGGGGTTTGAGGTAAGAGCGTTAATTCTTTCCCATTTCACAATACTTCAGATATTCTGGTCATTAAAGTGAAAAATACATGGCTAAGCCCCATGAAGATGGACTTCCCGTATGTAGTGGTAACGTTGATATCGACGACAGCACAGTACAGTATATACACACCCTAGAGATGAACTCCACAGGATTCTTTGGTCTTGTTACCCTGTGTCACGAGTTGCTGCCTGCCTTAGATATGACAACTTAGAATTATTCTTCCGAGATTAAGTTCAATTATCTCTCACTCATGCACAACGTTAAGTTTACCATAACTACTTACTGTAACTCTTATAATTTAACAATTTGAATTTGAATATGATTACATCGCTTAAACTTAAATTTTAGTATCAATAAAATTTCGATTCCAGTATCATAATATATTAGTGTTCCTTATTACTAGGTCTACTAGTGTGCTAGTATCACTACACCCACTACAGTTAAATAGTTCATTTCAAATTGTAATGAAGAAAATTTCTTCTCAGCTCCTCAGGCAGTTCGTCGGACCATAAGTAATGTTCAAGTGTTTAAGGACAGCATATATAAGTCGGGGACACACACACACACACACACACACACACGGTCGTTTGTTTAGTGTTGTAGTCATCCAGGGGGAACATTGTACAAAGATAAAGACGATGGTACATACAAATTGTGAACCTGTTTTTCAAAATGGTTTTCTCCCCTGTGATGTCTACATCACTTGTTCAATTAATACTTTCATTGATTCGCTTCGGCTCTTAAAGCTATAAATTTATGATCATATTCCTCTAATGTTCACTAGGGCACGCCAATTACCCCGTGTGGCCAGCCTCTTTAGTTGTGAAATCTTGGAATAACCTGCCAGAGTGTGTTGTGACGGCACCGAGTGTGAACTTATCTAAGACCAGACTCGACTAACACTAACAGAATGTTCTGGTACATTTTAGAGCCCAAGCGGCTACTACACCAAACGCGTTTCCCAGACCTAGGTCGTGGCGGGCCGGGGTGATGTGACGTCCCTTGACTGGGTTCAAAAGCAACTAGCTCCATACCATATGGTGTTTACGCCTACCGTTGTACAGGTAGTGTTGATGATGTCACTTAAACACCAACAACGTCCTTCATTCTTCCATGACTAATAGCTGTCTCCAGTCACACCCTTGACTCATCAAAACTTCACATTCCTTAGTAACTCCCTCCAGAAACAACCAACCCAGATGATCATTAAAGGAATGTCAACATCCGTTACTCTTAAGAACATCATCACTCCGACCGTTAACAAACATACCATCCGACGTTATTTTCACTCTTAAAACACTTATACAGTTAAAGGATGTGTTAGTGAGAAGGAAATTGTAATATGTTAAATATTACGAAGTTTCCCATAGCAGCTTGTGGTCACACAGAATCTCTCATCATCTACAGTACAACACCTTCCAGATAATAAAACGTTCACTTTTCACTAGACGTTTAGACCAAGCCACGGGAGGTACAATTTATCATGCTGACAACTTGACTCTGGTTGTGTCAGCTGGGAGATGACTCATGTCGCTGACCACCTGGCTCTCCCTACTGGCATACTAAGGGCTGTTGTGGTGACAGGAAGAGTAACTCACGGTGTTGGTGTACTCAAGGTCATGATGGTGGTGCCAGGGGAAGAGAGACTCACGGTGTTAATGAGAGTCTTCATTTTTGGGTCGTCATCCTCGGACACATGGGCGGGACAGAGAGGCATGTGGGCGGCTGCCGTTTCCACGCTCTCCACTGCTCTAGCCTGTAAGGACAAAAAATGTAGTTATTTAGTATTGCGTTTCTATCAACTTCAAACTGTTAGGCCCGTTGTTTGGATGCGAATTCTAGCTGCACTGCTCTATATTATTCTTAAAATTCAACGTCACGTATAAAAATCTGGAACTGCTCACCCGAACAAGTGTGAGGATTGACTGCAAAAGAAGAACAGTGAGTATAAGACGAAGTGTGTTGGTGTTCGTGATAGGGACATGAGACCCGTCCTTGCCAGCCATCCTGACACGCTGCGGTTCTAATTTTGATACACTGGTGATATTGGCACATGTATAGTGGTAATGGTGGTGTTGGTGGAGGGTGTGGTGACTTGCTACGGTAGTGGTGAACTTTTTCTACCCTTGGTGGTGGTAGTGACCGCGACGGTGGTTCACGCTTGACTGAGGTAGAGTGGCTGGGACTTGGGAGGAATATATATACCTGTATACAGTACAGTATATACAGTGTACAAGTCGAGCTGGGAACAGTATATAATTAACCTATAGGAAACGGCCTTGTGTTAAGAGTATATGGGGTAGGGGAGGGAGGAGAGGAGGTTGACCTGAGGCAGCGGTAGTGGAGTGGAAAGAGAGGTAAATAAATACTGAAGAAAAAAAGTGAAGTTGGGAATGGTAAATATTTAGACCGTGACTGTTGCTAGTTTGGCGGACAATTTTGGTCTCATTTTGCTCAACAGTTGATGCTTAATGCAACGGAGATATTCTTTTATGTCGAAACGCCCAAAAAAAAGTTTTTTCAACTATTGAGTTGAGAATCACGAAGCAAATTAAAATGCATTCTTTTTTTTTTACTTTACTATGACCGATCTCCATTGAAAAGCAACAAATATTGAGGAAGCTGAAACCGAAATTGTCGCCAATTATTACCTGGAAGCGTAATTGGGGGCTCTGCCCCTCAGTTATGCTCAATATTTCTAATCCAATCCTTACCAATCGTAACCTAACCTAACCTAACCTAACTTCAGTCGATAACTTTCCCCGCTTACAAAAACTGACGTCCATAACAAAAATCACTTTCAGGTATTAATCATTTCCACAACACTACAACATTTCCTAAATTGATCAAAACATATTAGTGGGGAATGTCAATGTAATAACAGTCAGGGTCCAAATATTAGCAGAGGAATAAAGTAAATAATGAGAAATGGTAAAATTCAGAGGATAAAAACGATTGAGGAGAAATAGGTAAGAAAAAAATAAGGGAAGAGGAGGTGGGACAGGTGTTACTTACTCATCAGTCAGGTAAGTGAATTATCTGTGACGTCGGGACGCACACATCGGCCCATCGTTTCCTATAGAGTCTTCTGAGCTTATGTAGGTCATTGACTTTTAAATGGAACGCTCTGGGAGGTTAATCTCCAACCGAATTAGCGGTGTATTACGGATCCTTTGGGTAGACACTTTACCCCTTAAAAGTGGTGGGCAGACTTATTTATCTTTTTTTTTACGGGAATTAGCCCACCCGGACACATGTCGAACGACCCACAACGGGGCCTAGGGGACGAAATAATAAGAACAATGAAATTAAAAATAGAGAAGAAAAGGTTATACTGAGTTAATCTACACCACGAAGATGCCGGAAAACCAGCTTTTTACAGTGAGATAGATTGTATAAGTAATGGAAACACAAAAGAAGGCAGAGCATTCCACAGTTTGGCTGTGTGAGGAAAGAAGGATGTACTATAACGGGTTATTCTAGTGTGACCGACATCCACAGAGAAACGGTGAGCACCGCGGGCAAGATGTGTGTTACGAGCCCACGGCCTTGCCTGCGGTACACAGGATCCCAAATCCACCGAACATTGCCCGTTAAAGTCCCTGTAAAAGAGAGAGAGTGAAGTAACGTTGCGGCGAAGAGAAAAGGAAGAAAGATTATCAACTAAAGGAGGAGAGTTAATAAGACGAAATGCCTTTGATTCCACCCTATCTAACAGTTGGACAGATGAAGAGTCACACCCCAGATATGAGAGCAGTACTCCAAGTTAGGATGAATGATTCCCGTATATACTTGAAGCAACTGCTCAGGAGTGAAGTAGCTACGGCAGCTGTACAGTATTCCCAACTTTCGGGAGACAGCTTTAGCTATGTTAAGGATGTGTGATTTCCATGACATATTGGAGGAAATGGTGAGGCCGAGCATATCTATTTTAAAATTTGGCAGAATGATAGCATTCTGAAATGTAATTGGTGGGAGATCATCTAATTTAGAAAGTGTAAGTGGTAAATACTGAGTGTTATTACAATTGAATTCAACCAAGTTTGTAACCTCCCCATGCAGAGAAGCTGCACATATCCGCATTGATAGAAATAATATCAGCTCTAGAAACAGATCTAGTTTGAGAGTTAGGAGGAAGGGGAAAATGTGAGGAAGAGTGAAGAGTAGAATCATCAGCGTAAGAATGGATATAATTAATTGTAGCGTAAAGTAAATCATTGATAAAAAGAAGGAAGAGAGTAGATGAAAGAACAGAACCCTGTGGGACACCACTATTGGGAGAGAAAGAGCGAGAGATCGATCCCTCGACAACAACTGCCATGGATCGGTTCTCAAGGAACCTAGAGATTAGAAAAGAAAGTGGGGGAGAGAAACCATAAGAGGAAAGTTTAGAAAGCAAAGACTTTTGCCATACCCTGTCAAATGCTTTGGAGATGTCGAGGGCCACGATGAAAGTTTCCCCATAATCCCTAAACAGAGGTATATATGCGAGCCTGAGGACATATGCCTACCAGAAAGACTACTCTTACTAACAATAGACCTTCTATTCAAAGTGGTCGCTGGACACCTAGCTGTGACCGTCAGTGTCACAGATCAGGCAAATTTTCTACGTCTATCTTTAAGATCTAATCAGAGATTGAATTTGTCAGGAAAGAGGTGAAATGGAGTTATATATGCAAGAGCAACTCGACTCGCCTGACCGCAGACCACATCCCAGGTCAAAACAGCCGTTAAGTTTTGGAGAATTTTGAGTTTGACAGAAACTGTTCAGTAGATTAATGACTTTCTAAAATAGACAACTGACACTAACTAAACTACAAACATCAGATTTCCTGATGTTTGGGCGACAAAATAATATAACCAGTAGCGATCGGAAACTCAGGATGTCCCTACGAACGACATAAAATAGGCCACTCAGACTGACAAACTCGACACTCACTTACTTGTCAAGTTTTACTAACAATAAGGACAGTTGAAACTTTCAACACCACTCACAATGGACCATGAATGTTCCAACTGTAAATAGATATATCTCGGTTGCCTCACCAATTGCAACCACAGTTGCAATTTCAAATTCTGTCATTACTAATGAATAATGAAGTCTCGGGTGCATTCTAAGATTGAGAGAAAACGGAGGACTCAGGCGTCCTGAAGCGATGAGAAAACGGACTTCTTCGATGGGGGATTTCAATAAGAAAGCATACCTACATGTTTTGTGGGCTATTGAGCGTAATATGAATCGTCTGATTTTACGTTAACTGACGTGTATGACCGTGGTCATTACAACCTCGCTTGCAACCAGCCTCTGGAACTCCTTTTCAACCCTTCTACACTGCATCTTTGCTTGGTTTCTGGCTCTTGCATACATCCTCCTGTCCTGCTCATCATTTGACCCAACCCACGTCTTAACTTTGTCGACCGCCGCAGGTTCATGTGTAGGGATCCCCTCGTATTTCCTAGAGGCACTGGGTTTGGTTTTGGGTATATATTTATCGATCACGTGGGTCACTTTACTAGTTATGATATTCAGCATAGTGTCTGCGTTCTTGTGCCTAAATGAGTCAGGTCAGTGGATACCCCTCATCATGTAAAGCTATAGATATTTCACGTGCGACTAGTTCACACAACAGCGGTAACACTCATGTGAGGTTATTACTTTTGTCACCGCGTATACAACCTAATTTATTAACATGGTAGTGACTGGTGACTACAATAGGGATACATCACACATTTAAAACACCCGCCGGGCTCCCACTCCCGGGTGCTCCAACTGCTGCTGGGGAACAAAGTTGATAACACGAGCAGCATTATCACGCGGTTGTGCTTTAGAGAGAGAAGAAACTCTTAACTGGTTCAGTGGTTGAGAAACTTGCGGGCTGTGCTGTGTTACTCACTGTTTTAGTTCCACTGTCTTCTATTTCATTAAACGGTGCCACACGTTTGCAGAATGGAGAGCAGTTGCAGACAAAGATCTTTGTTTGAAAACCAGATCAACTCAATGTTGGTTACCAGTAGCTCCTCGTCTGATGAGTCTGATGTATCTTTGAACTCCTCTGACATTGACTACCAGTCTTATGATCATGGAAGGTCTTCCTCGGAGGAGATAGAGACACGTGTTTATAATCATGGAAGGTCATCCTCGGAGGGGGAGACGACATATGACTCCAGGCCTAGTACGTCTCGTGGCACCTTAAGCCCAGCGAAACGGGCACGAAGCACAGCACAGCCAACTTGGAATAATTCAACAAGTGGTAATTGGAAAAATTCAACAAGTGGTAATTATATTATACTTTACGTGTTGCACAAGATGCGAGTGTATTGTGATTGAGTAATAACTTTGGAATGGATTACTGCTATACAGTAATTTATAACTGACTGGTGTCTTATAGGTCTAGTGGGAACACTTGTACCCACAGAAAATCCAGTGATTTTTGGTAATTAGGGTCGCATAGACAATACCCAACTCACAGTGACTAACAGAACTGGATTACTGTATTGAACCCGAGTTGTGGTGGTGAAGAACAGGTGTGCTTCCGCTAACACCATGGGTAAATCTCGAAAAGAACCCATTCTAAAGAAACTTCGGTAATTATATAGGACTAACCTGTGAGCAAAATTGATTACAAACAATTATAAATACACTGGATTTTCATTGTTATATTATAGTGGACACTGTGTTAATTTGTGGAAATATGTTAAAAAATGGATATTTTTAAAATAAATGCGACTTAACATTTGTGGCTATGAAGAACAGACAAACCAAACAAACCTACCTAACCTTACCTAACTTCCCCGGTATATTAAACAGAAAGAACTTACTATGATATGGTGAAATTTTTTACATTTTCTGGACGCGAGATGATATGGCTGCATCGGCGCTATGCATCCCTGGGGGGGTTAGTCCTAAATATTAACCGAAACCTCTTCCTCCCGTGGCTCGCCAATGACTGGTTTGCGAAAATTTTTATTTTTATAGTATTTTAACCAATAAAATTACCACCAATATTACTTGTTCAAAGTGGGCAGGGCTTTGAAGCACAGGGAAAATGTGCAGAAAAAACAAACAAAAAAAACACAAATTTGAAAGCCTGACATAACCTTTCTTAACCTTTAAAAATCCTAAAGCTAAAAAGCTCAACTCATTCATGTTTTTGGTGTTTAATATGTGATGATGTTGCTTTTGGTGTTCCGATGAGGGGGGAACCATAAATTCAAGCGATTCTTAAAATTTTTACAAGTTCGGAAAGGTTTTTAAAGGTTTATTTTTATTTTATTTATTTATTTATTAATTAATTAATTTATTATTATTTTTTTTTTACGGGGATTAACCCACCCGGGCACAGGTCACTGACACACATTGGGGCCTGGGGGGTGAAAATGTAATAATAATAATAATGATAATACTGTAATAATAAAAATATTAAAACTTTAGTAATAATAATAATAATAATAATAATAAGGAACCATAAAGAAATACAAAAATGAAAACATAAAAAGTGAGAAACAATATATGTATGTTGTGTTGTCAATAGTAAGAGAAACAATTGAGACCCTGCAATTGTGTGTAAATGAGGCAGAAAATTAGATCAGCAACCTGGGACTTGGTCACAATTTTTGTGATGCCATATGGCAGCAGGGTCTACCATTAGACAACACATTATGCTTCCGATATCTTCCCAGGCGGTAGTACCTCCCTGTTTGGTAGCTGTTTACTACCTAGTAATATATATTTGGTTACCAAAGAAGGTAAACTTTACTCTACGACAAGCCTTGGGAGGAGGGTGCAGCTTGCGGGTGGTCTGAATTTCCCTGGTTAATATTGAAAACTGACCTGCTGACGATTTATTTGTTTTACTGTTTATTTTCTTACTTTATTTTCATCAGTGAGTTCTGATATGATAGGGTAATCATTTTTTTTGCAAATGCTTCGTTTTGTTGATAATTAGGGGCCTAGGCGTGTACTACTTTGTCTATCCCGGCGGAAATGCGGCTGCGCTCGCCTCTCATCCGGCACCAGTTTCATTCATACATACATACGGTACATACATACATACATATACAGTCTGCGCGGAATGTTAAGTCGCGATAGGGCCGACGAACTAAGTTCTTGCAAAAATAAGATCATATGTTGTGAAGCCTGTCCCGGGATGCGAGATGTCAAAACGCTTGGTTTGTTGGCAAGTGCTGACATTTGGCAACTGAGAACACGTCACGGCTTATAGTCAGTGCGCCTCTGGCAGCTGTGAGGGGGAGATTTATTGTGCGGGTTCCCGTGCCATGTGGCCATGTTTTGTCTAGTTTAAGGTGCATTAACCCGACATTGTGGCCATCAGATATGTCCAGGAGGATTACTACAAGAGACGATATTGCAGCAGTGATTGCACTGTACAAAGCGAACCATGTACTGAGAGAAATATCGGCTCAGACTGGTGTGGCATTACGAGTTGTTCAAAATCTTGTCAAACGTTTCCGTGACCTTGGAGAGGACGAGTTACCAGCCCCATTACCTAAGTCTGGTAGGCCTAAATTATTGTCTCCACGGACACTTAAGGTTATTTCTCGACAAGTTCGGTCCAATCCCTCACTCACAGCACGTGAAGTGAAAGAGAGAAACCCCCGTCTTTTGGGTCACGTCTCGTTACGTTGTGTTCAACAAGCCCTGCACGATGACCTGGGATTTAAGAGCTTTTGTGCCCACCGCAAACCTCTGTTGACAAAGAAACAGAAGGAAAATAGAGTGAAATTTTGCAAGAAATATGAAGTGTGGGATTTAGAGACATGGAGGAGCGTATTATGGTCGGATGAGGCTACGTTTTCTGTGACTGGGAGTAATGGAGGGAGGGCGTACCGCCCTCCCCACTCAGATGCGCACCTCCCACAGTACACTATTAAGCACCCTGCCTCGCTTGTGGTTTGGGCTTCCTTTACGTATTATGGTGTTGGTGAACTAGTAATCCTCCCTAAGAACCATTTGATGAATCAGTACAACTATCTTGAACTGCTCAGTGATTTCTTACCTGAATCATTTGATAAAGCTAAGGCAAGCCTTTTCATGCATGACGGTGCCCCATGCCACACTGCTAAAAGTGTCATACAGTGGCTCAAAGACTGTGAGGTACCTTTCTTTAATGACTGGCCTGGCAGTAGCCCAGATCTTAACCCAATAGAAAATTTGTGGTCCATTGTTAAACGTCATCTGCGCGATGCTGACACATCATCAATCCCGAAGCTAGAGGCAGCCATCAAGGATACCTGGGCTAACTTGCCACCTGACCTCTTGCAAAACCTTGCTGACAGTGTTCCTCGAAGGCTAAAAGACTGTCTGATGCGCAGAGGAAACACTACAAAGTATTAATTGAAGTGGTAAGTGTTACTTGACTTTATTTATATAACATACCTGTAATCGTAAATATCAATATTTTTTCAGCACACGATCTAACATTCCGCGCAGACTGTGTATATATATATATATATATATATATATATATATATATATATATATATATATATATATATATATATATATATATATATATATATATATATATATATATATATATATATATATATATGTTTATACATATATATATATATGTATATATATATGTTTATACATATATATATATATGTATATATGCTGATAACCACGAGGAAAGAAGAAAACACGAAGTTCCCAAGCGGTTTCGTGTAATTCACATCTTCAGGGGTGAGTACAGACTAAAGAGAAGTACAAAACAAGGTGTATATATACAGAGGAGGGTGAGATCAGGTCCACAATGGTCAGGTATTAAGTAATGACCTTACTAATCTTTAAATAGCACCGCAAAGGGTAAGGGTAAGGTGACCCAACCTCTTCACCTGGTTACAAATCTTCTTAATTACAAAATTGTCCAGTTTGTACATGCCATTACTCAAATTCATGTTGAATGCTTCGGTATGTTTAATGAGACTAGCTTCTATGATGTTCCTACTGTCAATTGAATTACAAGGTAATATTGAGGAGGCATTATCCCAGTCAATGCAATGCTTGTTATCCCTCAAATGAACAAACAGCGCATTGTGTTTTCGTGTTTTCTTCTTTCCTTGTGGTTATCAGCATATACCTAGATCACGCGCACCTACAATGATTTACTTGCATTTATATATATATATATATATATATATATATATATATATATATATATATATATATATATATATATATATATATATATATATATATATATATATATATATATATACAGTCTGCGCGGAATGTTAGTTCGTGTGCTGAAAAAATATTGATATTTACGATTATGTTATATAAATAAAGTCAAGTAACACTTACCACTTCAATTAATACACCTTTTTGCAATTGAACAATGTTACTTTTGGTTTCAACATCTTCGAATGGAATCAACATTCTTACACTTGATTAATAACAATCTTTACTTTCCGTTCAACAATCATCCAAAACTTTTCAACAGTCGTTCAACACGTGACAATGTTTACTTGCTTTCAACAATCGTCTCATTCTTCATTGACAATTCACTAATACTTTCAACATTTTACAAAACTAAGTAACAATCTTTAAAACATCATAACTATGCAAAAAGTTTATGTTTTGGTGTTTTTTGTAGATCGAAAGACTAGTTGATCTAATTCAAACTTTTGAAGCAAGTAACGAATCACCTAGTCGAGATGGTATTTTCATTACGAGTGTGCAGCTTCTCCCGTATACAGTTCGTCGCCAAGCCCCTCCAGCATGCCACGGAGGCACAGAATAACAAGTGCTACAGATCGCGAGCGCATTATCGAGGCCTACAGAGCAGAACAAGATTTCCTCGTAGTTGCAGCAGCCCTTGGAGTTCAGCGCACCACGGCATACTCCATTGTGCGAGTATACCAACGCGAAAACAGGGTTGAAGCTGCTCACGCAGGAGGCAGACACAAGATCATCGACAATGAAACTCTGGATCTAATAGTGATGCTGCTTGAAGCAAACCCTATGATGACCTTGAGAGAGATAAAGGAGGAGGTCATGGATATATTTCCTACAAAACCACATTTCAGTGAGGTAACGCTTTCGCGTTATTTGGAGGGGGAGCTGATATCACTGAAAATGTCCCGTGACTCCCCAGCAGAAAGAAATTCTCCCGCAGTAAAGGAGGCGAGACACGCGTACGCTACGTGGATGCTGGCGACGGGTCTACAGCAGCAACTAGTATACATTGATGAGACAGGTATGTAATTATGTAACCACTTATCAACTATCTGTAGTATGTACTACATAATTACTTAAGTAAACTGTATGTAACGAGTGAGTACTTAATATTGATCTCAGTTTGATGCATCGTACAACTTTCCTTGTGTTAATGTTTAATTACATTACAGTATGACTACATACACTGATGTTTCATTTCCAGGGTTCAATCTGTGGACCAAGAGGACGTACAGCAGGGCAAGACGCGGGGAGCGTGTGCATCGCACCGTTGGTGGACAGCGTGGCAGAAACACGACAGTGATTGCTGCGATAGCTGAACACTGTGGAATACTCTATCACGAAATTCACTATGGTTCAGTGACGAAGGAAGTATTCAGTGATTTCATCGCATCACTTGCAGCAATAATCGGAGACGCAAGATCCATACTTGTTCTAGACAACGCTCCAATTCACAACGGTATCGCAGCAGTCTATCCCGAGCTGAATTTTAAATTTCTCCCTCCATACTCTCCTTGCTTGAACCCCATAGAAAACTGTTTCTCTGTGTTTAAATCATACCTGAAGCGATACCTCCACCGTGAAGCTCCACGGTGCAACGCGGCCCACGCCAGGCAAGAAGGAGTGACTCTCAATGCACTGAGGGAGAACATTTTGCAAGTTGGCGTGGAATTTGCACTGCCTAGTGTCACAGAACATATTGTGTCGCAGAACTATAACCATGTCAACACCTACTTGGTTCAATGTATTGAGCGCCGAGACATCTTCAATTGATATACAGTAGGTCTACAGTAATAGAGTATAACCTACTGCCTTACCGTTTGTTCCACTTGAAACAATTCACAACAAAAACCTTCTATACACTCATGGGTTCTTTTTTACCTGACAGGTTACTATTCGTGAGGCAGAGGAGGAAGGCAAGTCAACGGGATGCTGATATGACACTCCTCTCCCCAATCCCACTACCCCTCCCACCCTCACCTACCTCCATCCCTACCTTACTGCCAGGCAGAAACAACCCACCAAGGTGTACGAGGCCTTTACTGTGAATTGCTTCGTGGAAGTATCATGACACCAATGTATTTAGCTATTAGTATAAGGCCCTTTTTTCTTTGTTTCTTTTTAAGCAATCGTATGTTTTATGTAGCTACTAAAGACTAAAGACATTACATATGTAATTCATTGTGTTGTTGATGTTTGTGTAAGTATACTCAAAAATTAAATATTCATGGCTGTTACTGATTTTAAAGATTGTTGAATAAATTCTTTTCAATGATGATTGTTTCAGTCGCATTGTTGAAAAGTTTGGTTGACTGTTGAAAGGTTTTGTAAATTGTCAAATCAAAATAACTGATTGTTGAATGGATTCGGAAAATAGGTGAAAGCAAATAGAAATTTGTCATTCCAAAATCTTGATTGTTAAAGGCAAGTGGTCAATTGTTCAATTGCAAATGAAAGAAGGTGTACTTTGTAGTGTTTCCTCTGCGCTTCAGACAGTCTTTTAGCTTTAGAGGAACACTGTCAGCAAGGTTTTGCAAGAGGTCAGGTGGCAAGTTAGCCCAGGTATCCTTGATGGCTGCCTCTAGCTTCGGGATTGATGATGTGTCAGCATCGCGCAGACGACGCTTAACAAATTTTCTATTGGGTTAAGATCTGGGCTACTGCCAGGCCAGTCATTAAAGAAAGGTACCTCACAGACTTTGAGCCACTGTATGACACTTTTAGCAGTGTGGCATGGGGCACCGTCCTGCATGAAAAGGCTTGCCTTAGCTTTATCAAATGATTCAGGAAACAAATCACTGAGCAGTTCAAGATAGTTGTACTGATTCATCATCTGGTTCTTAGGGAGGATTACTAGTTCACCAACACCATAATACGTAAAGGAAGCCCAAACCACAAGCGAGGCAGGGTGCTTAACAGTGTACTGTGGGAGGTGGCGTCTGAGTGGGGGGGGGGGAGTACACCCTCCCTCCATTACTCCCAGTCACAGAAAACGTAGCCTCATCCGACCATAATACACTCCTCCATGTCTCTAAATCCCACACTTCATATTTCTTGCAAAATTTCACTCTATTTTCCTTCTGTCTCTTTGTCAACAGAGGTTTACGGCGGGCACGAAAGCTCTTAAATCCCAGGCCATTGTGCAGGGCTTGTTGAACATAACGTAACGAGACGTGACTCAAAAGACGGGGGTTTCTCTCTTTCACTTCACGTGCTGTGAGTGAGGGATTGGACCAAACTTGTCGAGAAATAACCTTAAGTGTCCGTGGAGACAATAATTTAGGCCTACCAGACTTAGGTAATGGAGCTGGTAACTCGTCCTCTCCAAGGTCACGGAAACGTTTGACAAGATTTTGAACAACTCGTAATCCCACACCAGTCTGAGCCGATATTTCTCTCAGTACATGGTTCGCTTTGTACAGTGCAATCACTGCTTTTGTATCTGGTGGTCCAGTGGTTAGCGTTCCCAGGTCACAGTCATAGGCTTGTGGGCCGTGGGTTCGAATCCTGGCGGGTTGAGGTGTTGATTGTATGTAGAAGTCCGCGTGCTTTATTGGGCTAATGAAATATATATGGATCCTCGTGTTTCGAAGCCGGATTTGGTAAAACGTTACTCTGACCACCTACGTGATACGGGTGGTCCCCATTAGAGGTTCACGGCGCCATAAGCTCGTTGAACAGGCTTTGTGTGAAATATAACAAAGTCTAGGACTGCTTTTGTATCCTGGTGGTCCAGTGGTTAGCGTTCCCTGGTCACAGTCATAGGCTTGTGGGCCGTGGGTTCGAATCCTGGCGGGTTGAGGTGTTGATTTTATATATATATATATATATATATACATGCAACCCACTGTGTTTCTGCACCAACCGTCTGCACCACCATGAAGATGAATCACACCAGCTTTGAACCCCAGTTTCTCTTTCCATACATACATTATATAATATACACAGTAATACCCTGATTTGGCGCGGTTCCACGAAGCTCCACATTTACGCAGTACCCACCAGAACCGAATTTCATCTTTATATCTACCATACTGCTGAAAAGTGGTTGGCGGTCCTGCCGCCGCCGCTATTTTGATTCAAACCTCCTGCCTATGTTGGCACGCCGCGCCGGTAGGTTGCTCGCCTCTGTTGCGTTATCGCTAACGCCATATGACATATCGGACTGTGATTGGGCCACCATCCTTACCCTCCGCCGCTAGTTGTGATTGGTTTAATGTAATATGACATGCCTTCCTGCGGCGCTTGACCTGAGCCGGTGGTTATAACAGCCGGAGGATGTAAACCTGACGCCAGTTAGTAGCTGCGTCAGTAACATCCCTCCCGCCACACCGTTTTACAGGTATCTGTTGTTCCGTAGAATGGCTGCCAACGG